GCGGCCCCGGGGCTGCGGGCGGCCAGGGCAGCGGGGGTCTGTGCTCCAGTAAACACGGCGACTCAGTGCTGGTGCGTGTGGTCTTTTCTCTCCTGCCCCTGACCTGGGGCCAGCAGGGGTCAGGCAGGGCCAGGAGCCGCACTGGCCTGGCCGGTGAGGTCTCGGGCTCTTCTGGGGTCCGGTGCTGCCCAGGCTGGCCCGCCCCGGCCAGCGGGCCGCAGTGTCCCAATGCACCACCACCTCCCCCCTCGGGAGCCATCATGGGGGACGCCTGCGGGGGCAGGGAGCCCTGGATGCACGTGACGCCCCGGGGTTCTGAGCGGTGACCAGACGGTGTGGATAGACACACGGCCGGGGAAGCCACTGGCCCCCACAGGGCGCCCGGGCCCCACCCCCGCACAGGCCTGGAGCCACCAGGGGCAGTGCTTGCCCGCAGGGGCTGCCCTCCCAGGCAGCTGCCCCGCGGCCAGTGCTGGACCCCAGGCGGCCTCGTGTCCCCCAGCTGCTCTCAGCAGGGGGTGCCCGGCTCCGGCTCGGAGCGGCTCCGGGTCCGATCTGGCGCTGCTGCTGAGGAGACCCTGGCCTGGCACTCCTGCCCGCCAGGACGCCGGTGTGTTGTCCTAAGGTCCCATCACCTAGGGAGGGGGCTGCGCCGCGGGGTGCTGCTGGCCCTGCCCGGCCCTGGCAGTCCACAGTGCGTGTCAGCCCACCAGCCAGCCCCGCGGGCCTGCGGTCTGTGACGGCGAAGGGCCGTGTCCCGACCGGCTCATGCCCGTCGGCCGGGCAGGAGGTTTCTCTGCCCTCCCCCCGCCCCTTGCTAGCTCTCATGGCCCGGCACTCACCCACCGAGCAGGGCTGTGATGGTCACTGGCCAGCATGGGGCGGCCTTTCGTGCAGGAGGGTGTGGCCGGGCGCACAGCCCGGTGCTGGGGGGTGCGCGGGGCGGGCGGCCCCTGCCAGGTGGGGCTGGAAGGCTTCAGTGAGAGGCAGAACACGTGTGTGGGGCGCGGAGAGTGTGCGCACGTGCTCGCGGGCAGGGAGGGGAGGCGGTGGGCCAGGAGGACCCCGGGCGTGGGCTGTGTGCTACAGGGGGGTCAGGGCTGGACAGTCCCCTCACAGTAGCCTCCTCCCCCGAGCAGAAGGCGGGCAGACTGTGTCCAAGGGGGCACGCTCCCAGCAGAGCCCAGCCACCCACACGTGCCCTCTTTGTCTCCAGGAGGAAGGGATACGACCCCCCAATGTTCACTCGGTGGGGTGGGTGAGCAGGCACAAGGCGAATCCCTTCTGGTCCTGTGGACCCGAGACCACCATATGGGACGGCCGGGCCTGGCCTGGGGTTTAGTGAGGGGCAAGCGGCAGTTTTGCCAGGTGGGAAGTGCTGGGGGGACGCAGCTTCATGAAGACCACACCTCAAATTTGCCAGGAGTTTACAGAGTCGGTCAATGCAATACCTGTTCACACACCAGTTTTTGAAAGGAAATAAGGCAAACATTTACTAAGTTCATATGGAACCACAAAAGGCCCGAACAGCTGAAAAGGTGCCGAGAGAAAAGAAGAGAAATGGAGGCACCACGTGTCCTAATTTCAAACTATATTACACAGCAACGGTAATCAGAACAGTGTGGCACTGAAGGGAAGTCGGACAAGTGGCACAAATCAAAAGCCAGAGGCAAATGCAGGCAATGACCTACAACACAGGAGCCCCGGCCACTCACTCAGGGGCTCGACGTGTGCTGGGACCACAGGCAGCCTCTCGCCAGAAACAGGGCAAGACCCTTGTTCAACATCACACACGAAAATCCACTCAAAAGGGTTAGAGATCTGGACACAAGAACGGACACTATAAAGTCCTTGAAAGAACATGTAGGGGACGCACTGTTCCAGGGCAGCCCAGAGTGGACTGGGCGCCTGTGGGTGGGCCTCACCTGCGAGCTCACGACTCAGTTACACTGCAGGGACACACAGAAGGGTCAATGACGTTTACTTACAAAAGGGGACAGGGACAGGAGACAACCCGGGGGACGAGAGCGGGACACATCACTGGGGCACCTTCCGGCTGGGCTGACTGACCACACCGAGTGACGCGGCGGGAGAGCCGATTCCCAGCGAGAGCACAGGCGATGCAATGGCGCCCCACTAACCCCCAAATGTCCCAGAATTCCCGCTAGCCCCGCCCCCGGGCCCTGCCGTTCTCTCCCGGGTGCTGCTGGGAGCTGTAGTTTCCAGGCCCCGGAGCAGGGGCGGCCGAGACCGCAGGCCCCTCAGCACAGCCTCCCCTCACAGCACCGCCAGACACCCAACAAAGACGCCTCCGGGGACACAGCCCACAGCAGGGGCAGCAGGCAGCGTGGGGCCGCTCCCACGGCCCCTCCAGAAACGGGACAGCGGCCTCTGGAGCTGAACGGGAAAGACCCGCACAGCCGCCGGCGGCCCACGGCACGGACGCCCGAGGCCCGG